ACAACCATATATGAAACAACTTGATCAAAAAAATTATTATATGAAACAATTTCACAAGATTAAACAATTTCATGAAAAATTTTCATAAGATTAAACAATGAAATCGACGGATGAAGGTGGTTTGCACGGTTTACACAAATGAGGGCAGTTTTTATTTGATCACTCCTCTATATATATATATATATATATATATATATATACCGTGTATTACACGGGGTAATTTGAAAAAATTAAATCATATCAGGAACTTATCTTACATATATGAATGATCATCGAAAGTATGATGTTACTTTAGACTTGTACTCTTGAAATAACTATGAAGTATAACTCTTCAGACTTGAAGTTAGAAATGAAACTATATCAATAATTAGTTAAAATGAAGTTAACCCTAAAATTAAATTAAATTTAGAAATAAAACTATATTAGTAAATTAAATTTAAACTTAGAAGTAAATTTAAAATGACTATTCAGACTTATACTCTTGAAATAACTTTAAAGTGTAACTCTAAAGAATGACTTCGGACTTGTATACTTGAAATAACTCTAAAGTAAAACTCTTCAGATTTCAGACTCTGTATAGGCAAGCCAGAAGCTCTGCATGCACTATGTAAAGGCTCTGCATGCTCTATGCAAAGGCTCTGCATGGTGCTTTACATAGTGCTCCGTCTGGAAAAGAATGCTTCAGAATTCGGGTGAGCTAACTCTGAAGAATGGCTCTTCAGACTTGTAATATGGAAATAACTCTGAAGTAAAACTCTGAAAAATGGCTCTTCAGACTTATACTCTTGAAATAACTCTGAAGTATAAAATCAATTACACTAAATCAGAGTTCAGACTTCTAAGTCTAAAAAAAAGACTTCAGAGTTCAGACTTCAGAATTCGGGTGAACTAACTCTGAAGAATGACTCTTCAGACTTGTAGAAGACAAAAAGAAGACTTCAAACTTCTTTTTCTAAGTCCAAAAAAGACTTCAGAGTTCAGACTTCTGAGTCTGAAAAAGAAGATTTTAGAGTTCAGACTCTAGAGTTCGGGTGAGCTAAGTCTGAAAAAAACAGACTTCAGAGTTCGGGTGAGCTAACTATTTAAAATGACTCTTCA